TATTTCTATTCTCACTCATAAAAACCCAATTATCCAAATAACACATATATTCAAATAATTCAAATATTCACCAAAACACATAATCTAATTAATTATCATATAATATAATAATTAATAAAATAATTAAATAATACTAAATAAAAATCGAGATGTTACAAAAGTGGTCTTTTGGCATCGGAAATCATGAAGTAAACGTTGTGGAAGACTCTGACGATGAATGTGTTTTTGAAGAATGGATCTACCCTACTGCCAGAGGAAGGCTCAACAACTGGCACGCAAAGGACTTCACTCTCATCTCCTTCAATGAGGAGTAATTATTGTTTACTGTCTTTTGTCAATTCAAGAACTTTTATTTGTAATCTTAATTCCAAACAATGACTTTTAAGCCATGTGCCTTGCACGAGGTACCATGGTCCATTTGTTAAGGGTTGTGTTCATGTTCATTTTCATATAATCATTTAATGAAAAACATTGGACCTTTGCATTCAATTTTTGTGCTCACTGTCTTTCTTTTTCTTTATTGCATTTTTCAAATAGCCATGTATCTTACATGCACACACACACTTGCAGATCCTCATCCACTCCGGATCTCATTGCCAACGACTCTACTATTTCCAGTTATGACTTTGAACATCCAATTAACCAAGCCGAAGACGAAGGCGAGGAAGATTGTGAAATACCAGGGGAACTTGCCAGACTTCTAATGCAAGAGGAGAAAGCTATTCAACCTCATGAAGAACCCGTCGAAGTTATCAACCTAGATACTGAGACAGACAAGAAAAAGGTTAAGATCGGCACTGACTTAGAATACGGTATCAAGAGCAGGTTGTTCCAGGTTCTACATGACTATGTTGAAGTGTTTGCTTGGTCGTATAAATACATGTCGGGGTTGGATACTGACATTGTGGTTCATCATCTACTGACAGAGGAAGACTGCCCTCCTATCAAACAAAAGGTTTGTCGGATGCAGCCTGACATGTCTGAAAAGATAAAAGAGAAAGTGATGAAGCAATTCGATGCAGGATTCCTAGTTGTGACATATTATTCTCAATGGGTTGCAAACGTGGTCCCCGTGCCGAAGAAGGATGGAAAGGTTTGTATGTGTGTAGACTATATGGATTTAAATAGGAAAAGCCCCAAAGATGATTTACCTCTACCACATATCGACGTCTTGGTTGACAACACCGCTCAACATAAAGTCTTCTCCCTCATGGATGGATTTTCCGGCTACAACCAAATCAAGATGGCTCCCGAAGACATGGAGAAAACCACCTTTGTTACGCAATGAGGCACCTTTTGTTACAAAGTCATGTCGTTCAGATTGAAGAATGTAGGGCAACATATCAAAGAGCTATGATAGCTTTATTTCATGATATGATCAATCATGAGATAGAGGTTTATGTGGATGATATGATTGCAAGGTCGCAAACTGAAGAAGAGCACCTCAATCACCTACATAAGCTGTTTGAGAGGTTGAAGAAGTACAAGTTAAGGTCGAATCCTAACAGGTGCACTTTCGGAGTAAGGTCCGAAAAACTTCTAGGTTTTGTGGTCAAGGGTAAAGGCATCGAAGTTGATCCTGCAAAGGTTAAAGCCATTCAAGAAATGCCATCTTCATATCTCATCTAACTTCTACTTGTGAGCCAATCTTAAAACTCTTGAAGAAAGAACAAGTGGTCAAATAGAATGACGACTGCCAAGCTGTCTTTGACAAAGAAAATAGTTTAGAAACCCAAACAGTACCCTTAAAAATAAAGCAATCAAGACACACAAAGAAAACAGTTTAGAAATGATTTATACCCTAAGGTAAACCCAACTTTTATAAGTATTTCCCAGCAGAGTCGCCAGTTCTGTGATACAGTGACAAAACCGACTGTTTATACTGGTTTGCATTTTTTGTTCGCAAATGTCGCGGTAAGCAAGAGTTGCCACCAACTTTTCTTTTATCCAACAAAGGAAAGGGTGAAAAGAACAGAAAAGACATTTTTCTAGATTTCCTGAGTAAGGGGGTAGATTATGAAAAGGGAAGGTGTTAGCACCCTTTCCATCCGTGGTCTTCAACGGGCTCTTAGGTACTTGATCATTTTTGAAAATTGTTTTCGTGTTTGTGTATTTTGAAAGATTTTTTTTGCTTTATGATAACTCTTGTATCAGTCCTCAAGAGTGTGATGAAGCATTTTTGAAAAGAAGTTTTGAAAGTGTGTAAGTGTAAAAAAGAATTAATTTTTGAGCAAGTACTTAAGAACTTTCTACCTACTCGAAAGAGGACGTTCTTTTCCTCCTTTCCTTTAGATAGTTTTATCCTACTATTAGTGAGTAGATAGCCCTATCGTTGGATGTTGAGGGACTATCGAAAGGGAAGTTTATGGTCATTGAAGGCAACATGTAAGGATACCTTAGCATTTCGAAGGGACTGTCATCATGTAGGCAACATCGAGGGACAAGATCATTTCTCGTAGGAAACTCGAGGTACGTTAAGGGACCATGATCTTTATGATGACTTTTAAACTAAGGGTCTTTGCTAAGATATCCCTATGTTCGAGGGACATGACCATTTCCGAAGGTAACAAGTGAGGTTATACCCTAGGGGTGCAAGTGTGCAACAATGTGCTTTTTTCAGATATTTTATCTTGAAGTTAATGACCTAATGATTAATTGACTAATACTTGTCATGCACGCCTAATTTTACTAACAGTTCATATACAAGCATATAAGAAATATAAAAGCGAGAAATAAAGTTCTACAACTATTACAAGGCTTTGGTGTAGTTACATAAGTAAAGAACGAAAAGTAAAATGCGGAAATTGAAAACCCTAATTAAACTATTACAAACCGGGCACAGTTACATAATAAAAATAATCGTATGACAAATAATAATGCGTGAAAATTAAGACTGACCTACGTTTGAAACCCTAATTGCCTATTAAAAATATTTTTTTTGGTATTTTATGAAAAAATATTTGAAATTCAACCTAATCTCTAATTAATTTTAAATGAATGAAAATAAATTGAAGTTAATTAAATTAATTAATTTGCAAAAAATTAATATTTCTAAGAAAAAACTCTAAGTCCTAATTTTTATGATTTTATGATTTAAAAGAAAAGAATAAAAAAAATATAAACTAATTAAAAAATAAAATTAAATAATTAAAAGAAGATGGCCCTGGGGGTGAGAAACCCAATTGGGGCGTTATGCTGCTGAATTCAACCAAGGCCCATATCTGGTGGTCCACAGCTTGCGTGAGATCTAGTGGGAGGCAGTTGTGATGTCCATCATGAAGATGTGTTACTGGGCGCTGAATTTGATACTATAGTGATCTGATGGATGAGAGCTGGAGATGCATGATGGACGCGCTGGAACCCAAAGCACAGGATTTGCAAGAAATATTCAGAAAAAAAATAATATGCAAGAGGCAGGGATCGAACCCCTGCCCTTGCACACACACAAAGCCTGCTACCTCTACCGTTGGGACGATGATACTTCCGTTAATTTAAGCACAAACAATTGATTAAATATTAAAACTGGTCCTAAATACTTACTGTAAAACACATGCGTCCAAAGTGGGCCCCTGATATTTTAAATGAACCAATTATAGCATCCTAACATGCCACGCAAAGTCCTTGGCCGGTCAACCACCCTGAATGGTGGTTCCGTTCATCTTCTCCGTTTGCACAAAAATCTCAACCTGCAAAATACCAAGAAAACGAAAGCAAAAGTGACTCTACCCTCCTAATTTGGGGTCTACGAGTTCAATGGTGATGGCCATTTGGCTTGAGGAGGCATGTATCATCATGTTCGTGCCTTGGCCGTTTCAAAGCCCTAACAATGGCAACCTGCATTCTAAGCCTCTAGCTTTTCATGTAGCACGTTAGAACGATTCAAAATAATCATATGAACACGAATGTATGCTTTAGATTCATTTAAATCGCATGTGTTAAGAGATTCAAATACAAAAATTTTACCAAAAGGATGTAACTTGGTTGGCCGGTTTCAAGCTGCTTCAGTCGTGGATGAAGGTTGATATGGCTACCTGGGACCTTCAGGAGATGTATATGACACCTGGTTTTATCTGCAAACGGCTGGATTACAAAATAGAGATTTTCAATATACTTTGAAATTTTGAAAATTCTCTAGGGTTCCTATTAGGCTGGCTGCGCATCCCCTCTTGCTCTCAATCTCTTCTGTTTATATATGCTAACAATTAGGTTAACAAATTCGTGCCAAATCTCCATGGCTTGATGACAAGAATATTGGTTTTTAATTTGTATCAAAACTTGCTATTTCAAGAAAATCTCTTTCTCCTTTTGTCCCATGCGTTTTTCTTTGACATGCCAGCCTATCTTATCCCTTATTTGATGAGAAAAAGATTCTTAAATCATATCTTACATGATTTTCATTATTTATTTATTTAATTTGAATTTTAATGAATAAAAAATCAAAATAAATAATAAAATTAATGAGATAATGTATGAGTGAGCTAAGAGGTTGTGGGTCATGTTAAGAACAAGTTTCAAGCATGAAAACATGGGCCCATTTGAAAAAAATTCAAGTTAGGTCAGCATTGACTTCATGCACATTTCCAAAAATTGGTCAAGTATAGCAATGCATATCTCTCTCATTTGTAACCCTAAGAGAATGTTCTTGGACTTTTTTGAGAGCTTAGGATGTCCTCTAAACAACCTTTTTAGTTTTACTTCAATTGGATCTTCCATGTTCATGTAAGGAACTTTGACTTAAAAGATATTTTTGTTGACTTTTTGAAAGGACCTAGTGAAAATTACTCAATCTATTTAGAGGCACAGGCTCCTAAACTTATTTTAATGTTTCCTTTTTCTCCTTCGATATCATATTGGGTGAATTTCTAATTGTGTAACAGTGACACTTAAACTGAAGTTGTGTACGGTATCCAACATGTCTTAGTATTCTGACACTGACACAACACCAACACACTTCAATTATTTCATTTAAAAAAATTATTACTACCGGTGTCAACATTTCAATGTCTTGTCCAGTTTCGGTAATTCTTGTAGTGCTTAGATTTCAAATGATTGAATGCAGAATTTTATGGATGTATATTGCTTATTTATACTGTATTGTGTATTGTGTCTATAATGGCTAATATTGATCTATTTTCTTGCAGATTCATACGGCTGCGACCATCTTAGATAGAAATCATTTGGTGAAATATGATAGGAAGACTGGATATTTTCAAGCCACTGACTCGGGTCGAATTGCAAGCTACTACTATATAACACATGGAACCATATCTACATATAATGAGCATTTGAAGGCTTCGATGGGAGACATAGAGCTTTTCCAATTGTTCTCTCTTAGTGAAGAATTCAAATATATAACAGTAAGGCAAGATGAGAAGATGGAGCTAGCTAGGCTTTTGGACCGTGTTCCCATTCCCATCAAGGAAAGTTCGGAGGATGCAAGTGCCAAGATTAATGTTTTACTGCAATCATATATTTCACAGCTTAAGCTTGAAGGACTCTCATTAACATCTGATATGGTCTTTATATCTCAGGTTTTACTTCATTTCTTTACTATGAGAAGTTATTGTGAATGGTGTTATGTCTCATAGTTCTATTCATATGTTAATTATCTTGTTTCTTTTTTCAGAGTGCTGAACGTCTTTTGCGGGCTCTTTTTGAGATTGTCCTGAAACATGGTTGGGCGCAATTGGCTGAGAAAGCTTTGAACTTATGCAAGATGGTGACCAAGAGGATGTGGAGTGCACAAACACCACTTCGCCAGTTCAATGGAATTCCAAATGGTATATTAACAAAATTGGAGAAGAAGAATTTGTCATGGGAAAGGTATTATGATCTATCATCACAAGAGATAGGTGAACTTATTTGCCCACCAAAGATGGGGAAGAAGACCCTCCACAAATTTATCCATCAATTTCCAAAACTGAACCTTGCAGCAAATGTTCATCCAATTTCTCGCTCAGTTTTGGGGTTGAACTCACAATAACTCCAGATTTCTCGTGGGATGATAGAATACATGGATATGTTGAGCAGTTTTGGGTGATTGTGGAGGATAGCGATGGTGAATGTATCCTTCATCACGAGTATTTTATGCTGAAAAAACAATATATTGATGAGGATCATACTTTGAATTTCATAGTGCCAATAGATGAGCCTCTTCCTCCTCAATACTTTATCCGTGTTGTTTCCGATAGGTGGCTTGGACCCCAATTGTGTTACCGGTATCTTTCAGACACATAATCTTATCTGAAAAGTATCCTCCACCTACTAAACTTTTGGATCTGCAGTCACTGCCCGTGACAGCCTTACAAAGTCCTTCATATGAAGTGTTGTATCAGAATTTTAAGCATTTTAATCCTATACAGACACAAGTCTTCTCAGTTCTGTATAATTCTGATGACAGCGTCTTAGTTGCTGCTCCAACCGGGAGTGGTAAAACTATATGTGCAGAATTTGCAATTTTGAGAAATCATCAAAAAGGGCCTGATAGTGTCATGTGTGTTGTTTATGTAGCTCCAATTGAAGCTCTTGCCAAGGAACAATATGTTGATTGGGAGAAGAAATTTGGGGGTGGTCTTAAATTGAAGGTAGTTGAATTAACAGGAGAAACAACAACAGATTTGAAACTGCTTGAGAATGGTCAGATTATCATCTGTACTCCAGAGAAATGGGATGCTTTATCTCGCCGTTGGCAACATAGGAAACATGTCCAACAAGTTAGTCTTTTCATCGTTGATGAGTTACACTTAATTGGGGGTCAAGGAGGTCCTATTTTAGAGGTTATTGTATCTAGGATGAAATATATTGCTAGTCAGGTTGAAAATAAGATCCGTTTTGTGGCTTTATCAACCTCACTTGCAAATGCAAAAGATTTGGGAGACTGGATTGGAGCTATCTCTCATGGCCTATTCAATTTTCCACTTGGCGTACGTCCTGGATTAGAAATATACATCCAGGGTGTAGATATTGCCAATTTTGAGGCGAGGATGCAGGCAATGACAAAACGAACTTACACTGCAATTGCTCAATATGCCAAAAATGAGAAACCTGCCCTTGTATTTGTACCTACAAAAAAGCATGTCCGATTGACCGCTATGGATCTGATTACATACTCAAATGCAGGCACTGGAGAGAAGTCGTTTTTATTGCGGTCCACAGAAGAACTTGAACCTTTTCTTAACAAGATTAGTGAAAAAATGTTAAAAGTCACATTACGTGAAGGGGTTGGCTACTTGCACGAGGGCTTGAACAACCTTGATCATGACATTGTGGCACAACTATTTGAAGCTGGTTGGATTCAAGTATGTGTTTTAAGTAGTTCCATGTGCTACAAAGTGACTTTGTCAGCTCATTTGATGGTTGTGATGGGCACACAATACTATCATGGACGGGAGAATGCACAAACAGACTATCCTGTTACTGATATTCCGCAGATGATGGGTCATGCAAGTCGTCATTCGGTGGACAATTCTGGAAAGTGTGTCATCTTTTGTTGGGCACCTCGTAAGGAGTACTACAAAAAGTTTTTGTATGAAGCATTCCCGGTTGAAAGTCATCTTCATCACTTCTTACATGATAATTTGAATGCTGAAATTGTTGCTGGAATTATTGAAAACAAGCAAGATGCCGTAGATTATCTTACATGGACATTTATGTACAGGCGCCTCACCCAGAATCCAAACTATTACAATTTACAAGGAGTTAGTCACAGACATACCTCTCCGAGATGGTGGAAAATACATTGAGTGATTTGGAAACAAGCAAGTGTGTTGCTATAGAGGACGATATACATTTGTCTCCCCTTAATCTTGGAAGGATATCATCATATTATCACATCAGTTACACAACAATTGAAAGGTTTTCATCATCTATTACTTCAAATACAAAAATGAAGGGCCTTTTGGAGGTTCTATCATCTGCATTAGAATATGCTTACCTTCCAATACGACTTGGGGAAGAAGAGGTGGTCTGCAAGTTAATAAATCACCAAAGATTTTCCTTTGTAAACCCCAATGTTAAAGATCCACATGTCAAAGCCAATGCATTGCTTCAAGCTCATTTTTCAAGGCAATTTGTAGGTGGGGGCATGGCATTGGACCAGAGAGAGGTGTTGCTTTCTGCAAATAAACTGCTTCAGGCAATGGTAGATGTCATATCGAGCAATGGTTGGTTGAGTTTGGCTCTTCTTGCTATGGAAGTTAGTCAAATGCTGACACAAGGAATGTGGGAACGTGATTCTATGCTGCTACAACTTCCTCATTTCACAAAGGAATTGGCTAGGAAATGTAAGGAGAACCCGGGGACGAGTATAGAAACTGTGTTTGATTTATTAGAGATGGAAGATATTAAGAGGCGCGAGTTGTTAAGCATGTCAGATTCACAATTTTTGGATATTGCTAGATTTTGCAATCGCTTTCCTAATATTGATTTGTCGTATGAAGTCTTACAGAATGACAGTATCCGGATCGGGGAGGATATAACAGTACATGTCACTTTGGAGAGGGATCTTGAGGGTAGGACAGAAGTAGGACCTGTTCATGCTCCTAGGTGTCCAAAAGCCAAGGAGGAAGGATGGTGGCTTATTGTTGGTGATACCAAAACCAACTCGTTGCTTGCAATCAAACGGGTTTCCTTGCAGCGGAAGTTAAAAGCCAAACTGGAGTTTGCTGCTCCTGCTGATGCTGGAAAGAAACCATACGTACTTTATTTCATGTGTGATTCATGCATGGGTTGTGATCAAGAGTATGATTTCACTGTTGATGTTAAGGAAGCACATGATGGCAAAGAAGATAGTGGCAGAAAAGGAAAAAGGTAATTTTCTAATACAAATTTGTTTTGGCAAAATCTATGTATTATGGTAGCATATAGTATGTCGATATGTGTACTTTGTCGATGGAATTCGTCCAATTTTGTTGATGAATGACATGAATAATAATTTAAATTAATTTTTTATGATATCCATGTTAGAAACGTAGAAACAGTAGAAAGGAAGAAGAAAGAGAAAAAAAGGAAGAGAGAGAAAGTAGATCTGAACTCTAACAGAATCGTATATTATATTACAATAGAGGACAAGACTGAGTTATATACTCAGCACAATGATATTACAAATTTACCCTTTCTACTATTGATGTATATATTCTAATAGCTCTCCTAGAAACTCTAGGTCACCACTGATCCAGAGTTATCCTGTCACGGACCTGCAGCTGGCTTCTTAGTTGCAGGAACTTGAGAGATGAGAGGGGCTTGGTGAGTAAATCTGTATATTGATCAAACCCAGGAATGTGCTTGACTATCAAGCTCTTGTTCAGCACTTTTTCCCGTAAGAAAAAGATGTCTAGTTCCATATGCTTGGTCCTAGCATGTAGAATAGGATTGTGTGACAATGACACAGTGCTGAGATTGTCACATAGCAGGACAGGTGTAGTAAATGACATCTTGAGCTCAGTAAGCAGTGACTGTATCCACAACACTTCTGCAGCAGAATTAGCAAGGCTCTTGTACTCTGCCTCTGTACTAGACCTTGCAACTAAGGTCTGTTTCTTGGACCACCAAGAAACAAGATTAGGTCCAAGAAAAATGCAGGAACTTGAGGTGGATTTCCTATCATCAGGATCTGCTCCTCAGTTAGCATCAAAAAATGCTGTAATGGAAAGGGGAACTTGAGTGTTAGCAGCCTGCAGATGCAGCCCATGACAGAGAGTCCCTTTAAGGTACCTGAGAATCCTTTTAACAGCAGCCCAATGGCTTTCAAGAGGATTAGACAGAAACTGACAAGCTTTGTTGACTGCATAACTGATCTCAGGCCTAGTAATCGTGGCATACTGCAGTTCCCCAACAACTGACCTATAGAAAGTAGGATCCTGCACCACATCTGTGCCATGTTTGGTAAGCTTAAGACTGGATATCATGGGGGTAGGCACACCATTAGCCTCACTAAGATTAGACTTGACCAGGAGATCTTTTAGATATTTTGTATGAGACAAAAACAGGGATCCATCCTTTAAGTGAGATACCTCAATACCCAGAAAGTACTCCAATTCTCCTAGTTGTTTAAGTTCAAACTGAGCATGCAGTTTATTGACCAGTTCCTGAATATGCTATGCAGAATTTCCAGTTACAATTATATCATCCACATATACTAACATAATGATAGTATATGAGGGTGTGACAAGGATAAAAAGAATGGATCACATCTGCTAGAGGAAAAACCAAACCCCTTTAGGGCTGAAGTTAGTTTCTCAAACCAGGCTCTAGGCGCCTGTTTAAGCCCATAGATGGATTTGTTCAGTTTGCAAACAAGAGAGGCATCACTGGAAACTTCAAAGCCAGGAGGCTGCAACATATACACTTCCTCCCCAAGTGTGCCATTAAGGAAGGCATTATTCACATCTAATTGTGTGATATGCCACCTCTTAGAGATAGCTATAGTGAGCACAATTCTAACAGTTACAGGCTTAACCACATGTGATAATGTCTCAGTAAAATCAAAGCCTTGTTGCTAGTGGAAACCCTTGGCAACTAGTCTTGCTTTGTACTTGTTAAGGGTTCCATCAGGGTTTTGTTTTACCTTGAACACCCATTTGTTCCCTATGGCCTTCCTATGAGGAGGCAAACTGGTTAAAGTCCAGGTGTTGTTTTTCAAGAGAGCCTGATATTCATCAGTCATAGCAACTTTCCAATGGGGATCTTTTAGGGAAGTTGTATAAGATGTGGGCTCCAGTTCAATGAGAAGAAGGGTGAGATGTTGTCTGGGTTGTACTATGCCATTCTTCCTCCTAGTGGTCATAGGATGCACATTTTTAGGGTGTAAAGGTGGCAAAGAAGAATTATCTGCAGGGACATCAGAAGAAGATAAATCAGATGCAGAGCCAGAGACAGGGGGCTCAGATATAGGTGCTAGAGAGTTAGAACTGGAGCTGACTGAAGTGTTGTTGTTGGTCTGAGCAGGTGCTATGGAACTAGAAAGAGAAGCTGGCTCAGGGCTGATAGAAACTGAGAGATGAAGACTGCTGGGACCCTGATGGAAGTGAGAAGGCTATGAGATTTGAGAGAGACTGATGGGAAATTGTGGGGATAGAGGGATAGAAGAAACAGAAGGAGCTTCAGTAGTCACACTCTTGGCATAGGGGAACCTAGCTTCATTAAACACTACATCTATAGAAATGTAGATTCTACCATTGGAAGCTAGGCACTTGTACCCTTTGTGATTGGAAGAATATCCCAGGAAAGTGCATTCTTGTGAGTGAAAATTGAACTTATTGGGAGAATAAGGTCTGAGGTAAGGGTAGAAGGCACACCCAAACACCTTGAGAAACCTGTAATCAGGGGCACATCCATACAACATGAAATAAGGAGATTTCATGGCTAGAAGAGGAGTGAGCATTATGTTGATTAGATAAGTGACAGTGAGGCAGGCATGATCCCAGAATTGCAAGGGAAGACTTGCTTGAGACAACAAAGTCATCCCTGTTTCAACAACATGCTTGTGCTTCCTTTCCATAGTGCCATTTTGATGATGGGTGTGAGGGCAAGCAAGTTTGTGTGCAATGTCCTTGGTGAGAAATAACTTGGTGAGAGACTGAAACTCTCCTCCACCATCAGTCTGAACTGATTTTACAGCAGTTCTGAACTGTACCTCTACAGTAGTGATGAAGTGTGTGATGGTGTGCAATACATCAAACTTTAACTTGAGAGGGAACACCCATGTATATTTAGAAAAAGAATCTACACAAGTCAGCAAGTATTTATATCCACATGTTGAAGTCATAGGAGCTGGAACCCATACATCCAAAAAGAGTAAATCAAAAGATTGATTATAAGTTGTGTGTGAAAGTGTACTAGGCAGCCTATGCACTTTTCCTAGACAGCAAGGAACACAGAAATTCAAGGGAGACTTGTGTGGCACCGGAACACTGAGAGATTGCAGAGTTGACTTGAGCACTTCATGGTGAGGATGCCCCAGCCTATTGTGCCATAAGTTTTAAGTAGATGCTGAAGTAGAAATTGAACCACTTGTGATGTGATTTATTGAAGGCAAGGGTTGGAAAGGATCAAAGGAGTAAAGACCATCTTTATTCACCACACCCTGCAGCAGCACTTCATTGGCCTGTGTTTTGACAAAACACCTGTCAGCATGGAACTCAAAATAAACACAATTATCCTTGGCAAACTTGCTGACAGACATGAGATTCTTAGTGATAGCTGGCACAAGTAATAGGTGATTGAGTGTAAGAGTGGTGTGTGTGTGCAGAGGTGAGACAAAGGTAGTTGAGCCAATAGAAGTTATAGGGAGTCCTTGCCCATTTCCAAGTAAGACCTGATCAGTACCAGGGAGTGTCATGCTTTCAGACATATAGGCAGCATTGTTGGTAACATGGTGAGTTGCTCTTGAATCAGGATACCAAACTTGAGAAAGTTGACCAACAGCAGCTGCAGTCGCATATGTACCTGTACCAGTGAAATAAGCTTGTGGTTATTGTGTTGGTTTTGCAGGAAACCCTGGTGGTGGTCCTCTTAGAGTTGGTGTAAGCCACTGATTAGGAGTAGGAGCAGTCCACTGTGATTGAGCAGGCATAAGCATAGCTGGAGCACTTTGAGTCCACTGATTCCAATTCTGATACTGAGGGTGTGACACCTGAGCTTGTGACCACATGTTAGGCATCATTGTTGTGTGTCTGATAGCACACACTAGCATCATGTCCCATCTTATGACAAATCTGACACTGCACCTTGTATCGTCCACCAGAACGGCCACCTCTGCCCCTGTAGGCTCCACGTCCACCACGAAAACCTCCACATGAATCACCATAGCCAGTCACAGGACCATATGTAGCTTGAACTGAAGCACCTTAAGCAGTCTGTGTCGCATCTGCAGTCACAGGAGGTGTAGCCTGAGCTACATTGACAGAAATAGATTCAACAACCACACTCTTCTTAGTCTTCTCTAGTTTCGCTTCATGAGAAAGAAGCATAGATTTAGCTTCAATGATAGGACAAAGATGAGGCTTGCACTGGATGATTGAAGCTAGGGCATTGTACTCCTCTGGTAAACCATCAAGAATGGCTTCAATTTGATCACGATGCGAAATCGTATCGTCAATTGACTCAAGCACGTCCACAATTCGTTGAATACGAGCAAGATACTCTGTAACCGTTTTCTCCCCTTTCGTAACCGATTTGAGCTCCGAACGAAGTTGGCGCGACTTCGCATTTGTGTGCGCGAACATGTATTTGTGAATCTCATCCCAAATCTGATGAGAATGCACACAACAAATAACGCGAGGAAGAACGGAGTCAGACAAGGTGGTGAGGAGCCACGTGAACAAGAGCGAATCCTGTTGCTCCCAAGAGACATACGCTGGATTTTCTGCATCGTTCTCACGATCTGCTTCAGTGAGATAGCGTTGAGGAACGATAGGACTCACTAGAAGACGATGAAGTTTGTGCATTCTGATGATCCCTTCGACTTGTTGTTTCCACGAACGAAAGTTATTCTCATCAAGTTTCAGAGTAATTTGTTGCGCAAACGTCTTGAACGCGTTCTTCACGTTGAGCGTCGGCGTTGCACCGGTCGTGTTCTCAGACTCACCGTCGGAAGCCATGGCCAAGGATCGAGCTTAAGCTCTGGATACCATGTTAGAAACATAGAAACAGTAGAAAGAAAGAAGAAAGAGAAAGAAAGGAAGAGAGAAAGTAGATCTGAACTCTAACAGAATCATATATTATATTACAATAGAGGACAAGATTGAGTTATATACTCAACACAGTGATATTACAAATTTACCCTTTCTACTGTTGATGTATATATTCTAATAATCCATGATGTGGTGTGTTACATAAGAAATTTAATAATTTTCTAATACAGCATTCTTTCTTACAATTCATAAACAGTTTATCTCACAACCAGTAACCAACTAATCACTTTCAAAATGTTGAAACGACGTAATGTTGCTTGAATTGAGAATTAGTATCGCAACTTTAACAACACTTTTTAAGTAGACTTATTTACTTTTTTTAACATATTTATTGACTTATTGATTATCTTCTATAGTATTTTCTGATATGAGAAGAAGTGAATGATCCTAGAAGTGGAGCATGCTAGTGATTGCGAAATTAACAAGACGAAATGCTACTTATGATGATGCACCAAATGAAAAGGAAAGTCTCGATCCGTCTAGAAGATGTTCTGGTTCTAGGCATATTGTCTTTCTTTTCCATGTTGCTAATCAGTTTATGTTAAAGCAGAATTAGGAGTGCTGGGAACACTGAAGAAATGTCCTTTGAATTACACATTTTTTGTGTTTCGCTAAAGAAGATACACGTTAGTTACCCCTGGGTCTCCAATTTTCACTTTTATTGACATTCAATAATTTTGTGCTTACAACTAACGCACATTAAAGGTTTTTTTTGGCAACATGCTTTGGTCCATCCTTCAATTTTTTTACAGGTAAGGCATATATACTTCATCCTTATTGAAAACTTTAACTGATTATTGAGTATCATTAGTCATTACATGCTTGCCTTTATTTTTGATAGGTGGGGAATTAATTGCAGCAAGTAGCATTAGGAGGTCAAACTGTGATCTCTTTGACCTTATTTAAAAGTTTCTTGTTTTGCACGTATATTTTACTAACAGATCAATTATTTTAATAATTATCACATCAACCTTACACTCATCTTTGAAAAATAGAAGAATTAATAGAATATTTTTGTAACAATAATTTTAAATAGAATTGAATAATTTTTACTTATATTTGAGACTTATAAATTATAATGACTTTTATTTTATAAACAAAGCGGGAAGGAAAAGGTTGCTTATTGAAAAGCTGCGATCCACCCACTCTAACCCAAACCCATAGATAATTAATTTCTACATTGGGAAACTAGTACCAATCTGGTGATTTTGCACGGGTTTTGGTACGCATTTATTTTAAATGTATATTTTTTAATAGAAAAAAGTTGGGTATTAAATAATAATTAAATTTATAATTAATAAAAAAATATTTTAATCAGTAGTTTTATATTTCTGTTAATATTTAATATTTTAATCAATAATTTTATATTTATTTTATAAGAAATTTTTAATGACATGTGCTTTTTCATGGGAAAAAGCAAAATAATAATATATTGATTAACACACTCAAATCATAAACCAGCTTTAAATTTAATATAAAAATACTTAACAAAAAATTATCTCATTTATAGATTTTTCTATATTTATTGTTTGTCTCATTTCATTAGTGAAAATAACATATTAATATAAATCCCATTGAAATCCGAAATGTCATGCCTATTGAATATAACAAGGAGAATAGTTACTTTCAAGGAGATAAATATGCGATGTCTTGTCATAGCAGAGAAATTATAAGGTGGCTAAATAAAACCATTATACATTTTATAGCATAGGAAATAGGAAATGACATAAAACCCTTTAAAATAAAAAACTTTGATAAAATGGAATTGATATTTAATAATAATAATAATAATTAATAATAATAATAATAATAATAATAATAATTAATAATAATAATAATAATAATAATAATAATTATTATTATTATTATTATTATTATTATTATTATTATTATTATTATTATTATTATTATTATTATTTCATAATAAATAAGTTTTAATGTATTAATATGAAGTAATTTCTATAATATTATAATTTAATTAAATGCTAATTTTACTAATTGTAGAGTACCGTTTTAATATAGAGTAAAATATGATGACGATGATATCCAAGAAATCTCTATTTCACCATCTATTATATTGAAGATGATGATATTATCACAAATTCAAATTTAAAATTGATTTTTTCCGGAGCTTTCTCGTTCACCAATTTATTCATATCCTGACAACATAATTTATAACATTTTTTTTATAATAATAATAACATTAATATAAACATAATTTATTCATATCCTTCATCTTATTTTAAACTACTAATAACATTAATTATTTGATACAAGTATCATATAAACATTAAGAATTTGATTCATTAAGAGATAGAGAAAATAAATAAGTATGAACAGATCCATAAAGCACCAAAACTTTGATTGAAAAAATTGTTTGAAGGTTTACATTAAAAAGCTACAATAAACTAATTTGTCAACATATAAATGATCTCTACTTTAGTATAATGTAGCTACAAAAGGAGGAATCCATTCTTCTCTAAAGTCAATACAGGTAAAGATAAGCTACAAAGGAAGAGAGAGATATCCACTTATGAAAATATGAGGGATCCACTTATAAAAAATATTAATCTAGCTTATGAAGAATTATAACAATAATAAAAATTTCTTTTTAATATAAAAAAATAGTATAAAGCCATCACTGGAATGTTTCGTTACTATGCATGACCGTATTTTTTATCTTCTAATAATGAGATATATGTGCGTTCACACGGATGTTGTTAAATTGTAATTTATAGTGTCAAAGAAGATTTGATTTGTTTTAGATTTAAATAGATTTGATTTAAGTCTAGAATAGATTTGATTTGATTTGATTTAGTAACAAAAAGATATTTTTGGCCTTGGGCTTAGGGTGTAAGCTCAATTATAAATAGAGGGAGTAACCCCTATTTTGAAAGAAAGTCAAGTAAGTCAATTCATTGTAATCACAGAATTTGCAGTTGCAAGTGATTAAGAAAGTTTTTCACAGTTTGTGGGCAGACAGAAACTCTGCAGAAATATTTATCTTGTCTTCTTTTATTTGTTTTTCTCATAACTAATCATCATTATTGGTCGAAATTCATCATAGTATTAAGTGGATTTCCAACATCTAGTATCAAGAACTTTTGTTTCGATTCAAGGGAAGTGTCAATCAAGAACGATTGAAGAATTCACGATGACAAGTTATGGAAATGCAAACTATCCAGCAACGCTACCAATTCTGAAAGTTGACAACTATGAGAATTGGTGCAAACAGATGAAAGTCTTATTAAGGTGTCAAGGTCTTTGGGACCTTGTAAAAGATGGAGTCGAAGCGCTTGGCGAAAACGCTTCAGAAGAAGAAAAGAAGAAATACACAGAATCTGAGAAGCTGAGTTATAAAGCATTATTTATAATTCATCAATGTGTCAGCCCAGACAATTTCGAAAAGATTAGTGATTCAGAATCTGCAAAAGAAGCTTGGGAGATCCTTGAGAAGTCTTTTGGAGGCGCTGAGAAGGTGAAAGAAGTGAGGTTACAAACTCACAAAAGGACCTATGAATTGCTTCAGATGGAAGACAGTGAAAACATATCTGATTTCTTCACTAGAGTTACAAAACTAGTAAATCAAATCAAGATATGTGGAGAAGCGTTAACAACAAGAGCTGTTGTGTCGAAGATCTTGAGATCTTTAGCTCCTAAGTTCGACCACATAGTGGTGGCGATAGAAGAGGGGAAAGACTTGTCGAAATTGACAAAGGAAGAGCTTCAAGGGACGCTTGAATCTCATGAACAAAGAATGAACGAAAGAGCTGCAGGAAAATCGAAGAGTGATGTGGCCTTGCAGGCACATTCAGCAAAAGAGACCAAAGGCAAAGGAAAGTGTTTCGACAGAGGTAGAGGTGGCTACAATAAATCGAATGGTAGAAGAAACCAAATCGAAGGAGACGTGTCGAATCAAAGAAGACCATACCAAGACAACCAAAGAGGTGGTGTTGCAAATAGAGGAAGAGGTGGTGGTCGAAAACCTGATAAGAGTCATATTCAATGTTACAATTGTCAGAAGTATGGTCACTATTCGAGTGATTGTCCAGAAAAACGAAAGAATCAAGAAAGTGATGCAAAGCTTGCAAAACATGAAGAAGAATAAGAGATGATGCTGATGGTCACAACAAAAGATGAAGATAGATTCAAGGACCAATGGTACTTGGATTCAGGATGTTCATCACATATGTATGGAAGGAAAGACTGGTTCGTCAATATAAAACCCTTAACGAAAAATATGGTAAAATTTGCAAATGACAATACCCTAGCAGCTGAAGGTATTAGTGATGTTATGATCATGAGGAAAGATGGCAAGAAGTCAGTAATTTCAAATGTATTGTACATACCAGGCATGAAGAGCAATTTGCTCAGTATAGGGCAGTTGGTCGAAAAGAATTATAAAGTGTCAATCGAAGATAAGTTGATGAGAGTCGTTGATGCAAATGGGAGATTAATCTTGAAGGCTCCTATGTCTCAGAATCGAACCTTCAAGATTGAACTAAATATGATGGAGCACAAGTGCCTTTCAACTGCAGCTAGCAGAGATGAATGGATATGGCATTATAGACTAGGTCATCTCAACTTCAGAGACATCAGAGATTTGAAGAGAAGAAATATGGTTTCAGGATTGCCTGAAATTGACATTCCAAACGAAGTATGTGAAGAATGTGTGCAGGCGAAGCAACACAAGAATAGCTTCAGCAAGGATGCAGGAAGCAGATCGAAGGTTAGTCTTGAAGTCATATACTCTGATGTATGTGGACCAATCCAGGTGGATTTGATGGGAGGTAACAAATACTTTGTTACATTCATAGATGATTTCAGTCGAAAGTTATGGACTTACCTGATCAAGAAGAAAAGTGAAGTGATCGAAGTATTTACCAGGTTTAAGTCTATGGTCGAAAGACAAAGTGGTCGAAAGCTAAAAGTTTTGAGAATTGATGGTGTTGGAGAATATGTGTCGAAAGACTTCGACAGATTATGTGAAAAGGAAGGGATTGTGCATGAGGTGGTGCCACCCTATACTCCACAATAAAATGGAATTGCAGAAAGGAAAAATCGAACCATCATGAATATGGTGAGAAGTATGTTGAAAGGCAAGAGTTTACCTAAAGAGTTTTGGAGTGAAGCTGTTTCGACTGCAACATACATTTTGAACATATGTCCTACAAAGAAGCTAGAAGGAATTACTTCAGAAGAATGTTGGTTTGGTGTGAAACCTAGCTTGAGCCATCTGAAGGTATTTGGATCTATTGCACATAGACATGTGCCAGATCAGTTGAGAAGAAAACTTGATGACAAGTCAAGTCAAATGATTCTAGTTGGATATCATTCGATAGGAGGCTACAAGTTGTTCGATCCAG